TTTCCCTTTTCACCACTGAACTATATGACGGTTTCAAAGCTTCTATTCTGTTGATACAAGTATCTTGATCAGCGTTTTCTTCTATCTTACCATTGGTTCTGCAACTGATTGTTGCAATTTTTTCATACAGTAAGGACATTTTTTCGTATAGCTCCTTTATTATTATGTCTTTTGCCAGAATTATTTCATCTTTGGATAGGATGATTTGTTCTTTTGCTTTTATGTCATTTAATAATACCTCCTCCTTATTACTGTTACATTGTATTGCTTTTCCATCTTTTTCCTTTTCTTCCTCTCCTTCTGAATGATTTGATTTTTATTTTTCTTTCTTACACCTTGACTCATATCAAATGCGGTACTGTTTTTCTTCTATAATGTTCTTTTTCTTGCCTTCAGCCTACTGCTTTGTTCTTAGCGCCCTGCGGATACTGACTCGTGCGACTTTTACAATTTCTGACACAAATGTCACAGAATATATGGGTCAAAATGGTTAAAAACCACTCTGCGGCTCCAGAGTACACCACCAACAGTTCCACGGACGCGATTCTTTCCGATATCGAAGTGAATGCTACTGCTTTAAATTATCTTCAAGTCTTGTGTGAGATATTCAGGTATTTATAGCGATCTAAATGACTGATGTGATCTATACTATCTATATTTGATTAATTATATAACTTGAGACGTGGTCATTGTCTAAATTATTAATTTTTAATCTGTTTTTAACTTGTTCTTGTCATATTTATATAATTTGACCATTGTACCATCTATCCAGCTCTCACCATGTTACTGGACGTTTCCCTCATCCTATACGTAAACAACAATTAGCAACATCCTCACATACTACTCTCCTGATGATGATGGCAAAGTCCATTGAAAGCTAGAGAGAATTAAAAAAGTATAAAGAGCCCTCTTTGCTTAAATTTTGTCGAAGTACCCAACAAAAGGCGGAAGCTTTAATTTTTCACCTATATATATATATATACAGGGTGACTTTGAAGTTGAGTCATTAATTTTCAGATAATGATTGTAGAAGGAATATAAACCAAAATATGTGTGTAAAAATAAAAAAAAATTAAAAAAAATTTTTACCTTGTTTTATAAAGTATCCTCCCGACAAGTATTTCAGTGCGGACCTGTATTTGATCGTGAGGTCCCCTGTGAGGTCTTAAGTCACCTGATTCACGAGCCCGTTGTACTACATTAACAAAGGCACGAGGGGTTGGTTGCACTCGATTGGGAAACCGATCCGCATAAACATGTGCCATTTTTTATTTCGTTTGAGCCACGCAACAGATAAAACTATTCACTGACACTTACTGTATACAAATGAATGAAATAATTCGTTCCAAATTCTTTCGCTTTTTTGTTTCCGATGCGATGAACCGATACGACGGATTATATCCGTTGTCGCCAAACACGAGCACATTGAGACAGGGCGGTACTCAAACTTCCAAAGGGCTATAGCTTTGTTACTTTAATTTTACCAGAAAAATGGTAAAGGAAAAAAATTTCTTTTGATCAGATCTACTCACTGTTAAACTAAATGACTCAACTTCGAAGTCACCCTGTATATATATATATATATATGTGTTATATGCACTCACAACAATGGACTTACTATTCCATACAAGTTGCACCAGACGCTAGCTCAGCAACAGATAACGACTTCTCGCTAACCGTTGTTTATGCTTGGTTTTCTAGAAGTGCTTTGTAAGCACACCAATAGTATAAATAGGCTTCCGCCCATTTCATGTTGTTCATTACCGCTAGGCACGTACAGTCACTTATGTAAACTTATGTTCATACCCGGTTAGACTCCCTCAAGTCAAGTAATTGTAAACGTTTGTAGCGGACAGAAGTACGGTGCTCAAATAAATTTTTTAAAAGTAAAGTTGAATGTAAATGATATAACATATATATATATATATATTATATCACAAAGTATAGATAAATACTAAGTATCGTGCACAACAAACAAAGTACTAAACAAGTTTGCTTGTGCTTGGGTTTGTTACAACTAAAAGTACAACAACTGACTGAACACTGTAATTATGGTATAATTTGGTGAAGTGAATTATGGGGATTAACACCAATAAATTATACATATCATAAAAATACGTCTAACCTAAGCATCTGCGACAGACAAAGTAAACAATCAAAAAATCTGAAATTCATCATACTTCAGTAGCGTGTTATACCTACATTAAGAGTTTTTGACAATCGGAGTCTCCAAACCTACGAAATTTTATTACACACCTCGTATATTACAAATTCATTCATCATTTTTGGACATCCAGTAGAGTTGGGGATTGAAGGAGACTCACCTATCGGACCCCGAATCATGCCTGTCATCTTGGTCACTCTCAGTTTGATGTCAAATTCGTGATGTAGCCCTAAACGCGTCCATATTTTCAAGATTTGTGTCCTTAAATCTGGTTTTTCTTCAGCTTTTCAGATTCTTGGAACTCCATTTTCATCTGGTTAACTGTATCTGCTCTCGAATCAGCTTCAAGTCAGACTCTAATTTCTCTTCAACTTTAATTCTAAAATGGTAATAAAAAGGACATTTTAATACAGGGCAGTCAATTTACAAGACGATTCAGAAAGGTTCCCATTCCCAGCTATTTTTGAATAGGGTGACGAATTTCATGCATGAATAGTATATTATAGCTTTTTTTAACTATATTTATCCTGAGCATAGGTTAGCATTATTTTGGAAAGGGCCTCTCAAACAATTACAATCAATGACTTTTTTCAAGACAGATTTGAATCATATGCTTCAGAGCAACATCTTCTCATTACTTTTGTTTGGTTGACGCTATTTGTATCACAAGTGGTTTCAGCAGTTTGTATAGCATTGCTATTTGCCAATAAAGATTACGGTTATTGTTAATATTGTTGGGGTGGCTGTGGAACATTTCAAATGACGGTAGGGCCCCCACCTTGGAGTATTCTTTCAGAGCATTAATGCCATGTCATGTTTTATGCCTCATTTGAAGCTCCTTATGGTGGGAGCCTCGGTAGCTCGTTGGTTTATGTGTCGAGGTAGCAATCCGGCATGGGTATAACGCGTCTTGAAAAGTGACCATTATGTCGTTTCTTTGACATTACATACAGGGTGTCCCGCGAGGTAAAGGACAAAATTTTTCTGCGGGTTCCTCAGGTCAATTCGAGTAGAAAAAGTCGTATGAACATGGGTCTCCAATGCTTTCCTTATCGAGATACGATTTTTTATTTTTAGTGGGTGAAAATCACAATATTCTTGGAAAATTGCTTTTATTTAACAAAAAATTAATACTGTTCATATGAAAACAACTGTTTTACAGTAATTAAAGTCAACATTCACTATGTACTGCACGATTTAATAGATTAGTGTTTGTTTGTTTGTTGACGAGTGGTTGTGTCAGTTTGATTGAACTTTGCAAAAAGTATTTAAATAACACTTTTCCTGGGCATTGGATCGGACGAGGGGGCGCAGTTTCTTGGTCACCCCGCTCGCCCCGATTAAATCCCTTGGATAATAACTTGTGGGGACATATGAAGTTCTAGTGTATGCAGAGAAATCACATACCAGGCCTGAACTGCTCCATAAAATTACTGATGTCTCTGACGACATAAGTATTAATCGTCTTGTTATGGGAAAGCCACCAGTTACATTACTTAAACCAGCTAGACTATGTTTACAGTATGAAGGTGGACACTTTGAACAACTATTGTGAATAGTTATTTTTATTGTATCTAGTAATTTTATCTTAAATAAAAGTAATTTTCCAACAATATTGTGGTTTTCCCACCAATAGCACCTTAAAAATAAAAATCATTATCTCGATAAGGAAGTATTTCGGACCCATGTTCATTAGATTTTTTCCACTCGAATTGACGTGAAGCACTGTAGAAAAATTTTGTCTCTTTTTTGTGATATTATGTAGGTTTTTTCTACAAGAAATCAACTTTGCACTAGCTGTTGAACACTTGTGTACGTGTTGCATCATGATGTTTCAGTTATTACTGTTTGGCTCTGATGTGATATAACATCTACTTTATTGGAGATTTAAGCTGAAAGTGTATACTATAGCTAGACGGAAACGGCAGTCCATAGGTTCATAGTGTGGATTTTTGTGCTAATAATATATGTTAATGATAATTCCATTGGTTTTCTTGTCTCAAATACACTTACTTGACATGTATGTATGCAAAGCTAAAAAGTAGTTGCACATCCACTTTTTCTTATTAAACACGGAAATTACATATGCAATTATACGAAATTCAAAAATAGAGTCACAAGAAAAGAAAATATCTGGTGGTGAAGTATATTAAAACAAACAAGTGAGAAAATATGGTACATACAGGAATAATTTATGAAACGTAAATAGTTCTGCATTTTTACGATATTTTTTATTTCCAGTATTTACATTTTATAGAATTTTTTTTTGCAATGTCAAGTAGAAAATACAATCGACACCTAGATGTGAGGCAGTGTGAAAATGTTTTTTATGTGTTGCGTTATTCTTATTTATCTGTGATGTGGCTAAAAGTGCAGTGCTAATTTCCTGTAATGCTTTAAAAGTTTGTTAAAACGCAAAATCACACGAGAAAATTGTGATGTATAACTTTAGAAAGGACCACACAAATAACCCGACAATTTGTCGTTTTTTTTGATGTTCTATAGGTTTTTTGCATAATAGCTCTCGATTCCATAGCAAAATTGAAACTCAATTTTTGACATACCTCAGAAATGTGGTGGACATGAAAAAAATTTGTAATGCATATGAAATTAAGCTCAGACTGCCTGAAGCTATATTCTATATACATGAAGTGCTCCTAATGAATCTTCAAAAAATATTTCAAGATGGCGCTAACAACCATATTGAAATTTATAATAAGCTAACATACCTGTTCAAAAATTAAGTATGGGGAAACATTTTTAATGAATGCCCTGTATAAAGGTATTTATTGAATTGAATAGACCCAAAACAAAATTAGGCCCACCTATCAGATACAGCATTTCACATTCATTTTTGATATCAAACTCTTCATTTAGTGTCCAAATGTCCATATTTTCAAACTTTGTGTTGTTCACAGTTGGTTCTGCTTCTGGTTTTTCGGATTTAACCCCAACTACTAACTGATTCTCCATTTTCACCTGATTAACTCCATCCCAGTGTTCATCTTTGACACTAAAATAATATTACTAAACTGTCGAGCACCATCTCTAGGCGCCAGTTTTGCCACTTCTTGGACTGTTGTTGAAGGGATTCTCTACCATTGATAAGAGAATATAAAATATTAGGAATAATTATGAACGAGGTTGAAAGGTGATCTTGCCTTGGGAGGCTAATGTTGCAATTAAGAATAGACAATTTTCTGTAAAAGGAAAGTGGAATCTGTTTTTATTACTTCAAATGGAATTAGTTACTTGGTAAAATGGCTGTGATGGTTAAAATTGTATGTGAATATCCAAATACAACATGAGACAGGGTATCTCCTTGGAGAACATATTAAACGATGGCATATTTATAAAAGAAGTACCGTGAAATGGGGTGAAATTGATCACTTACAATCGTTATATTGGAATGTCTTTTTCAAATCAGATACAATTAAATATACTAAATGACATATAAATCCGAACACCCAGTTTAAATGGTTTTTTATTTAATAAAAGTTGGTGAATGTATTTATCTTACTGTAAATAACAAGTGAAAACATTTTCAGCCTTATCAGTTGGACATTCTGGTTTTTATACTGCTTTTTTTTAATTCACTAACGCTCTAAAAATGAATATTTCAGCCGCAGTAAAGAATCAACGTTGGCGGATTTTGGTTCTTGACATCCTTTACGATCGGTTACGATGCCTAGAGTACGGAGACCTGTACGATTTCGTCAACTTAGTGAGTTTGATAGGGGCCGTATAGTGGGACTTCGGGAAGCTGGACTTTCTTTTCGGGCAATTGCAATTAGAGTGCAAAGAAGTGTAGACACTGTGGTTAGGTGTTGTCAGGCATGGCTTCGAGAAGGCCGTACGCAAAGAGCAAGGGGCACTGGACGCCGCCGTAGAACAACAGACCGTGAAGATCGCCGCCTAAGATTATTGGCCTTAAGGGACCGTTTCTCCACTACCAGGTCCATTACAAATGAATGGTTTGCAGAACACGGAAGACCTATTGATATGCGAAGTGTTTACCGACGAATGGGAAGTTTTGGCTTGTTTTCATACCGGCCACACTGGGTCCTCCCTTTAACTCGAGAACACCGACGTAATCGCTTTGAGTGGTGCAGACAACGGTCACTCTGGGATCAGGAATGGAACAGTATTGTCTTTAGTGACGAGTCTCGATTTTGTTTAGGCATGCACGATGGTCGTGCCAGGGTTAGAAGGCGACGTGGTGAAAGGAGGAATCCACAGTATTTTTTGAAAGACATGTTCATCACACTGATGGAGTTATGGTTTGGGGTGCTATGCTATGCTTATGGTTCCAGGTCACCTTTAATCTTCTTCAGAGGTAACATGAACGCGCAGCGTTATATCCACGAAGTTCTAGAACCCCATCTTTTACCACCTATCTTGACACCCTGGCAGATCCAACTTTCCAACAAGATAATGCCTGACCACATGTTGTAAGAGTCACAATAGATTTCTTTTAACATAATGATGTCACATTGTTACCATGGCCACCCAGATCTCCGACTTATCCCCAATTGAGCACTTGTGGGATAATGGGTAGGAGATTGCTCAATTTGCAACGTCCTCCTCAGACTCTTGAAGCACTTCGAGAGGAGTTGGTGGTTGCCTGGAATGAGATACCACAGGAGAACATTGACCACCTGATCAGAAGCATGCCTAGGCACGTTGGAGAATGCGTAGCACATCAGGGTGCATCCACACATTATTAAAGGTCAAATGGCTTTAAAGCAGTGCAATCATTTTGAAATTTTTATCATTTACTTATTATGCTTCATTAAGTACTTATACAAAATTTTATTAAAATAAAACCATTTAAACTGGGTGTTCGGATTTATATGTCACTTAGTATATATACTATATCTCTAGCCCAGGTGCAATGAAACAAGATACACAGTTTTTGACTATGGTATAAAAGTTCTGAATACGGCTCTGAGTTTTACCCGATTCACACCCGATAAGTATACAAAGATTTGCGTGCATTTTACACACAATGTCAGATACGCTCACCCTTTGCAATTGTTCACTCTATTGCTCGATCTTTTAATAAAACTCAGTTTAGGTAAGTGATAGTTCTCACCCCCCCCCCTCCTTATCGCAAATGCATTACGAACAGACCAACATCAGCTGAGATATATGTTCTTTGCTTATGAGCCGAATCCACTAAATTTAAATTGCGATAACAGTCCCTAGCAGTGGTTATGAAAAACGAAACTACAAATGATGTAATTTTTTTGTTGTGCTCTGATCAATGTTAGCTCAGCTGTTCTTTTTTGAACTCTGAAGTGAGCCAGGTACCTCATCCCTGTTTTGGACTGTCTTACTTTACTTACAGAACGAACTTTTTTGTCTCCGATCAAATGTTTACTTTGGTTTCCTGACACTTTGTATTTGCGATTAGGATAAAATAATAGAAACTAGTGGTCTAGTTGCTTCTCAAAGATATATTTTTTTCGATGTAATATGATACCAAAACTACGCAAGCCATTTTCACCGGTCTGTCTGTCGCCCTGTCCAAAATACCATGCGTTCTATAACTCAGAAAGTATTACTCGG